ACCGTAGACAGATCCCCGACTGAGCTATCCTCTGCCAGAAGACAGAGGTTTTGTCAGCCGTAAGTCAGACAGCGAACTGTCTGACTCCAAACAACTGGGATGACATGTGACACAAGGTTAGTATTATTGTGCGGAACACGAGGGTTTCCACTCGGTCCAATTTTCAAAATTTACTCAGCCTCCGCATACGTGGATCGGGCACAATTCTTGTTTTTCTCAGCCCAGTATTCGTCTTTAGACAGAGCCCCGATTGAGTCGCCCAATGCCCAAAGACAAAGGTCTTGTCAGTTGCAAACCAGATAGTGAACTACCTGACTCGAAATGGCTGTTGCAGTTTTTTTTGTGTATCTATGTAACTAGTGAGCTAGCCGAAATGACATGACTCATGTTATAGTCCACCAAGTGAAGGGTTAACCAATCAGAAGACGTAGAATATTCAATCCGTCGTGTATAAAGGCGGCCATTTTGTTTACTCTATCCGAATGTCCAGTGCCAGCTTGTCAGGCGAAGAGGAACAGAAGGAAGAACTACGCTCTGCTACTTTACCGGGATGTCCACTGCTAACCTGAACTACGCTTCCCAACTCTCTTCAAAATATTCACTGCTAACCTCTGGATTCTATACTCAAAGACGACCGTCATCATGAACAACAACGGCTTGGTATTTACCCAGTACCCCACTGCGATGACATGTGACACAAGGTCGATATTTCTGTGGGGAACCCTAGCATTTACCACTCAGACCATAGGTCAAAATTTATCTACCTCCTCAGACGAAACTCTGCTCGTAGGCATAGCCTCGTCTGGGTTTCTCTTTGCCTGAAGGCAGAGAATTCGACAAGTCAGTCGCAAGCCAGGCAGCGAGCAGCCTGTTTCGAGGCGGCTATCAGTCTTGCCCCTGACCTGGAGCTCTTTATAGTAATGAACTAGTTCATATAGTCAACGGTGATGTACTTTTCACTCCACAACATAATTAAATAATGTCTAAGTTTTATGGCATTTTTATTTTACGATTCGGAGCAGATTTTTTTGGTAACTGGGGTCCTATTCTACAAAAAAAAATTGAGGATTAAAATTTTCCAAGGAGTTCTGTTTTTAACTAATATAAACATTAAATATCTACAAAATTTCATTTCTCGAAATTTCATAAGATTATAAATTTTGGTTAAAATCTTTTTTTCTTTCTTTTTTTTCATCTGTGCAGTGGGTAAAGATTAGTATAACGAAAAGAAATCAAATAATTGTCATATTTTAATGAACAAAATGTCCAAATATTAATAAAAACAAAGTTTTATCATCGAAAACTTTGTGCTAAGTAAAAAAAAAAACAAAGGATTTTTTCATTATTAAATTGTACTTTTACTCCTTTTATAACCTTCGAAATTTTGATTAAAATTTTCTTTTCTTTTTTTTTTTTTTTGCATGAACCGGTTACTATAAATTAGTACTGGGCACTTCAACGTATTATGATGGATAGCAAGCTTATCTCGCTAAAACAATTACGACTGAGTAGTGAGTTCGATATTCACTGGGTACCCTATTGATTCAGTCTTGTGCCACATCTAAGCTACGTTTAGAATATCATCATAAATCAGTATGCGTAATTTGAGACTCTTTTTGCGGTGAAAAACATTGATTTGGAAATTATTGCAAAAATCAGATAATTGTCGGGTTTTAATAAAACTTTCAGGATTTTTTAAATGTTTCTTTTTTAGAAACTCTAATTAAAATAAATGAAAGATGTCTTTTCCTTACCTGATATTCTCCACAATAGCCCCTGCTAGCATGCAAGTGTAAAACAAAAGGCACCATCCAATGCTGACCCTCGTTTATTGTTTATTGTTATATATATATATATATATATATATATATATATATATATATATATATATATATATAATAGAAGGTCTTGAATTTAACCGTTTTATAGTTATGTATGTTGGCTTGGGATGGAAATAATTATTTCATTAATGAAGGTATCTGAAAAATGCAGGGCACAGAATTATATTTTTGATAAGGTTCGAGAGCGTCTCTCTCTCTCTCTCTCTCTCTCTCTCTCTCTATCTATATATATATATATATATATATATATATATATATATATATATATATATATATATATATATATATATATATATAAAGCACATTTCAATGAATACGACAGAAAAGGTGCTTTGATTTAATTTTTTATACAATTTCTCATGCGATCTAATATTTTTTTTTCTTTCAGATGATAAATTATATAAAAACTGTTCGAATGTTCTTTTAATCCGAGCGCTTTCGGCTATACATTTAGCTATTTTCAAGGATTAAATATTTTAACTGTCAAATAAGAAATAGTTTTTTGCATGTATGTATTTATAAAAATGCCCATTAAGAAATTGTATTCCTGATCAATCAAAATTCGTAAATAATTATATAGGCCAAACTACAACATGTTTAACACGAAGACTCAATCTACACCTTTCTGACTATAGCTCAATTAGATCTTCTTTAAATGTTCATGTAGTCCTACTGGGCCTTATTCGTAACATAATTGTTGGCAACACAAATATAATAGCATCATCTACATGTAAAAATGCTAAAAATAATGGAAGCCTTATTAATAAAAACAAA